TGTCATTCCTAGCGTGATCATCCTGCTGACCTGCGCTAATTTGTTGCCCAAGTTCTCTTAGGGTCCCTTGCCCCTGGAGCGGGTAGACAAACCATACAGCACATCTTTATCTGAATTTTTCATAGTTTATATCTTTGTGGGGGAGGGGAGAGATTCACAAAGAAAAGAACACCCTGTACCCGGCACCCAGCTCTGTGCAGCTTGGCCCACTGTTCCAGATCGCTTCCTCACCGACCCACAGTCTCCGTTAGCTTTCGCCCATGCATCATGGGCCTGCAGTCTCGCCCCAGGTTGGTAAATGGCCCCTCTCCTATCCATGCAGGTGAGACACCGGGGCCATCTTTCCGCGCCGCTGCTCCCCTTCCAAGACGGCGCCCCAAAGCCCCTCCCTCCACAGGTAACTCTCCACAGTCAATTCGCCACAGCAGGTCCCACCCCTTGGAGGAACCAGGCCTCTCAGGACACAACAGCATAGCAAACCACACACATATACACACACCACACCACCCATACCACATATACACACCAGATAACAAGCCACAAACATATACACACATCATATACCACCCAGAACTCACCTATACACTACACACATGTACCACACACACATATACCATAAACCCATCATATATACACACCATACACAGTATATGCACACCACACACATACCATATACATACACCATATAGACACCACACACATATACACACACTATGCACTACGCATACCACATACCCTACCACACACCATATACACACACTGCACCATATACACCTCATACACACACCACTAAACCATACACACATCATTCATGCATATCGTACACATACCTCTCATCATATACACACATATTATACATACGTATATAGAGAACACGCATATATACACACATATATGTCCACTGAATGCACACACACACACTCACATCCTCACCCACCCGTTCGCCACACCTCCCAAGGTGGCTGCTTTGAGCGCCTTCTCTGTGAAGATGGCACTTGCTCCTGTGGGGCCCTGAGTCCAGCTCCCTTGTCCTCGGTGCCCACAGCTGCACAGCCGGCCTGTGTGGACGGCCACTATTTCCAGTTCTTTCCAGGTGTTGCTTTTCACCTTCTGCCCAACACGCAATGCTCCTGCGTGTGAACCTGGAAGGCCAGTCTCTGGGCAGGCATCTCTGTTTGTGGTTTGGCAAGCCTCAGTTTGGGTTTATCCAATTTACAGTTTTCATAAGGAGTGGAACAGGTGACCTGCATGACATGCACTCTGTGTAGATGGGGACCGATGTGTGGCATGCTTTCAATTATCCCATGTCAGGTGGTATTCTAGTTTGTCTCTCCATTGCTGTGACAAAACACTCTGACCACTACCAACTTGAGGAGGAAAGGGTTTATTCAGCTTACATCTCCCAGGTTGCAGTTCATCAGGGAGCCCAAGGTAGGAACTCAGGGCAGGAACCTGGAGGCAGGAGCTGGAGCACAGGCCATGGAGGAACACTGCTTACTGGCTTGCTTCCCTAGCCCCCGCTCCACCTGCTTTCTTATACAACACAGGCCCACCTGCCCAGGGGTGGCACCACCCACAGTGGGCTGGGCCCTCCCATATCACTCAGTAATCAAGAAGATGCCCCACAGACCTGGCCACAGGCCAGTCCAATGGAGGCAATTGACCAATTGAGGCTCCCTCGACCCAGGTGCTAGAAAAGTGGTTGATTGCCATAAGCAGAGCTCAACAGACCATTCTAGTAGGAGCCTGGAAGAAAGTAGTGCTGAGAACGATGTAGTTCATGAGGGAAATAAGGACTTAGGAAGTGCTTGGGATATTTTGGCAAAGAGTCTGGCTGGCTTCTGCCCCCAATCTAAAAGCTTGCCTGAGGCTAAGTTGAAAAGCAATGGACTCATTTCTCTAGCAGAAGAAATTTCAAGACAGCCTAATGTAGAAATGGTGGCGTGGATATTAATGGTGAATATTGTACAGATTTACAGTGAAAAAGAGCAAATAGGGCAGAAAGAAATACAAAGTGTACAGGGTGGATTGAAAAAGAGCTCTAGGAAGATTAATGTCGGAGCCCCAGCATGTGATGGATAGGATCCATTGATAGGGAGATTAAAGTGCTTAAGGACTGAGAAAAAAGTCTAATACCTTTAAAAAAAAAAGTCTCCTGGGTACCTCCCTCTCTCTCACGTCAGCACCCCAGGGTGACAGCAGGGCCACCCCCCTCCACAGTTGTACCACTTCTCCCTACCTCACCACTGTGGCAGTTCCATTTTTAACTGTGGACATTAGTTTCAGTTACCTTCAAAAACCATAATTTTGAGAGCACCGTTAGGCTCACAGAGCCTCCCATCTTCCCCTGCTCATCCACCTAGCTTTAGCACAGTGCATTAATTCCAAGTGTCTTCCAGTGAGCCATGTTCCCAGGAGCCAGAGCCCTGGACTTGGGTTGAATTCTCTCTTCCTTGGCGCTCACGTCAGCACCCCAGGGTGACAGCAGGGCCACCCCCCTCCACAGTTGTGCCATTTCTCCCTACCTCACCACCGTGGCAGTTCCATTTTTAACTGTGGACATTAGTTTTAGTTACCTTCAAAAACCATAATTTTGAGAGCACCGTTAGGCTCACAGAGCCTCCCATCTTCCCCTGCTCATCCACCTAGCTTTAGCACAGTGCATTAATTCCAAGTGTCTTCCAGTGAGCCATGTTCCCAGGAGCCAGAGCCCTGGACTTGGGTTGAATTCTCTCTTCCTTGGCGTAATTTTATGTATTTTGATAAAGACATGGTGGTGTGTTTCATGCTGGAACAGGCTGCCCTAAATGTCCGCTGCCCCCCATACCACCCTCCCCCGTGACCTCTACCTTAGCTTCTCAAAAATGCTCTGGTTGGTGTCTGCAGTGGTTCTAAGCCCAGCTTCGTTCTTGTGACACACAGCTGGGATTCTTGCACGGGTTTTTGCAGCTTTTTGGTTTCTTTTTGATGCAGCATGATATCCCCCTGTCCAACGGCAGTAGAGTTTCTAATCCACACACCTAACACGTGGCTGGGTCACACATGGTCAGTGGTATCATCCGGGAAGCAATGGAGACAGTCAGACCCCAGACTGGTCATTTTCTGATAGATGACCCCAAGGTGTCAGATGAGTCAGGGTCATATGGAGGTGAGAAGTGAGCCAAGGCTTGACCAGACCCTGCTGTCCCCCAGATCATGTAGTTCTGCTGATGTGCTTTTAAGCTTTATGTAGTGGCTTGCTCTCTGGTATGTGGTGCTGTTTGTGGGAGTCTTATGAACACCTCACATCTTATATCATTCTCAAATGACCTGGGCTTTGGCTCTGAATCAGCCACACCCATCATTCTCCACAATGAAAAGTCTCCCAAATTCTGGACTGTGCCACCTCTGGGGAGAGCATGGAATGTTGGGCCTCCGGGACCCTTGAACGCTTGGCATGGAGGACAGTGAGGCCTGTAGTACTTTCCTGAGCCTGGCTAAAGTTTAGCGACCTGTCTCTAGCCTGTCACTTCCGCGTAGAGGTGACTCAGCAGAAGCCTGATCTAAGATTGCCTCTACCCAGTTACAACTGACGTGGTAAATTCCTGGTGGCCCAAAGCCTATCACCCCACATGACGCATCCATAAGTCCATCCCCCCCCCCAAGGCTACATAAGCCGCTGACTAACAAAATAAAGTGAGGTC